AGTTCTTTTACACTTTGAAGGGAGGAGAATGTACTTGGAATTGTTAAGCTGCATTTCCCTAATGGCCAGTATTCTAGTTTTGCTCATTTCCTTTGTTACTGACGTCTGCAATACTCTTTTTTGTATCATAAAGCCAGCCTAGCTGGTCAACTTTAACATAATGAAGACTTTTAGTTAGAAAGCCATTGTCCTGGTCTGTTTGGAAGGAAGGAAGGAAGGAAGGAAGGAAGGAAGGAAGGAAGGAAGACCAGCTATGACATGGCCTTTTTCTGGAGCTGCACCTTGGACTGTCCATCTACAACTTGCCAGCAGAGCATGCTTGCACAGAATGGCTGTCCCTGGGAGATGAGCCCATTCCCAGAATGGATACCATGGCTGGTCACAAGTCATTCATTTCCTGAAAGGCAAATTGTGGAAATGAAAGGAAAAATAACTTGCCCCAAAAGTAGAGGTGGCATCTAGTGCTTAAATACTAAACTGTTCTTTTGAACAAAGATGCTGCAGGATAGCCTGTGGCACTGCATCAAACCCAGCCTCCTAGATTTATATGTATAATTTTAAGAAAGAAAAGAAAGATGTGGCGGGCCAGGGAGCTCAGTGAACACCAAGAGAGGTGCCTCTGTGTGCCTATGAGTCAAGACACAGCACTGGCAGATCTAGGACTTCAGCATCCTTTAAGGCTAAACTAGCTATGCCACAACCTTGATTCTCCAGAAAGCAAACAGGCAGAAAGGGATGGAGTTCTGACACAAGGATGCCGCTTGCACAGCAAAATAATGTCTAAGAATAAGGCTCTTATTGCACTGCGGACACAGAGTATGGAGGTTGACAGCACTGCCTGAAATTACTGGCTCTTCTCTGGAGTTCCCTTCCCTAAAGCCTGGAGAAAAGGTAACTCTAAGAGGGTGGGGGCAGGAAGTTCCTTTTTCAGTAGTGGAACAGCATTCGAGGGCTTCCAGGTGACACCTGCCCAAGGATAAAGATGATCGGAACATGAAATAACAAAACGGGGCAGTTTGAAAGTATCTTCTCCATGCTATATACAAGATGTCTCTTTTTGTGTGTCCTGAAGCAAACTCTTGTCTTGCGTTTGGGCCTATTGGCTAGTACCTGTGCCATCATCAATCTGCATTTTTCCACAATTCCTGGAGTAGTTTTGCCATCTTACTTTTAAATGTATGAAGGAAGGGGTGGAGATATATCTGTATAAATGCACATAAACATTTTTTGTTCTTTTAAAAAGATAGACAGCATGTCTGGAGAAAGACAAGACTGAGAGCTGTCCATTCAACTAGGTTAATGTGCATCTGAAATAAAAGTAGAAAATGCAGAATTGTGGCTTGTGTGGAGGATGCCACTATGACGGCAGTTAAAATAGCCTTCACACTGAGAAGGACGTGCCTTCTTTGAGGAAACAAAGAATAGAATTCAAGCCTTTAGGATCTGGCCTATCCTATGCCTATCTCCCAGGCTACTAGGGGCTCCATATGGTTTCTTGTGAAGGATTTCACCACTTGCTGTCTGCTAGGTACAATCCACAATCAAGACGGCAAGACACCTTGGGGCTGATTGACTGTCATGGCAATTTCCTCGTGAGCTGGGGGATGGAGAAGCACATGCAGGCAAATGGAAAACAAAGCAGGGCAGAGGGTGAACAGTTAGTGAGCAATGGAGAAAGTGCATGTAAAATGTGACCAAAGCATAGAAACTAGAGATGTGTGAGGAATCCACCCAGGGGAAATCTGGGGTGGAAATCTGTCGGATGCTCTAGGCTCATCTTCCTGGACTCCAGTCCACCAAGTTCTTGGTGAGTGCATCCCATGTTTGTGGTCACATGCAAGGAACTGAGCTCCATGCATGGCGTCAGAAGCACCACTCTTGCATGCAAGGAGAAGCCGCTCAATTGGCGGCTGCTCCTGGCTCCTGGTTGTGAGGGGCTGGCCGGCAAAGTAGCCTCCCAACCACCGTGCAAACAGCATCCCTCTTCCTACCAGCTGTAGCCGCCTTTTGGGCAGTTGTTGATGCAAAAGAAGGTTGCTGGTTGTGTAACCAGGTCTCTGCTCCACTTGGCTTGTTATGGAAGACTGGTCCCAAAACAAGAGAAAGCTTGCAAACACTTCAAGCAATGGATTCCAACAGGGTTTGTCCCAACCCTAACAGAAAGAATGCATGGTAGTACCTCCCATCCTGAATCTAGGTCAGATCCCTGACTCTTAGCTACTTTTCATGAATCCCGGAAAAACTAGAAGATGTACAAGCTCACCAAGGGAGGCAACATGCCGCACCCTTGTGCTCTCTCCCGCACTCAAGAGTTCTAAGCCAAAGTCTGAGTCCACCTCACCGAATGGGGAGAAGAGAACAGGTGGTGAAATTAGGGAAAGAAATTTGGTATGTTTCCATCAAGGCCTGATTTCATGCAGAACAACTCACTAACAACTTGAGCAGGGTCATGTGGCCTTTACTAGCAAGGTAAGTTCTTATTCAGGACCTGCAGTCTCTTGGGATCTGTTTTGGACCAGAGAGAGAAACCTCAAGCCCATCCAGTGCAAAGGGTCCCTTTGGCACTCTACTGTCTACTGGAACACACTGAAGATCAGCAACGGTTCGGCAAAGATGCGCAAAAAGACCTGCCCCAGTTCATGGACCCGGCTCACACATAACACTAACCCACAATTATTGAACACACTGGTGACCGAATTCTGAGTTTTGTGATGTGCAAACACAGCCATGTTAACAAAGCAGTTCATAAAGAACATTGAACAACCCAGAAAGAGAATCCATAGTTTGTTTTGAGTTGTGAAGTCTGGATTGTCATAACTGTGGGTTGCTTTGCTAGGCTACAGAGGCAGCAGGCAAGAAAAGAAACATACCATTACTACAGCACTGCAAAGGCATTTGGACTACAGGGAGGGATTGGGCAAAAAAGGAAGGAAACAACCCTGGGATCGAGAAAACAACCACAGTTCATTTGACCATCTGCCAGACAAACCCTGGGTAGAGCAACAAACCACGGGTTAAATAAACCATTGGGTTAGTGTTATGTGCAAACCAGGGCATGCATGCTTACAAAAAGTGCAGGTAGGTGTGTCTGTGAGTGGGTGTATATATTGCTTTAAGACACTTCTTTACACATTCACTCCACTGCCTCTTGATGCATCCATCAGCCACTAAAAGTACACACACACTCCACACACATCCCTGTTTCCTAGGGGCAGCACCACGCCCAGAGCACAGCCAAAGCACTTTGGGTCCTCCTTCTGAAGAAAAGTTATTTCTCAGAAGTGAAAGCAACATTCTTTCTCCTCTCCTCTCCCCTCCCCGTCCCCGTAGCAGATAGAGGGAAAACAAGACCGTGGGAGATTAGTAGAGAAGACCAGGGTGCCTAAGAGGCATTGCTTTTGCTCTTCCTTTCCAAATTATGCCATAAAATGGCTCCATGGCAAGAACTCAATGGAAAGATCCCTTCCTAGGTCTGGCTAACTGGCCATAAGAGGAATAGGTGGGGAAACATGCAGAGGATGAATGAGGGTGGACATGCCACGACAGGCTATCAGCTCCCTGAGGTGGCAGCGGGCAGCGCCTGAACGCCGGACGCCGGGAGCCGCTGCCCTCTACCTCTCTTGGCCGACTAGGTGACGCTTGATGGTGGACTTGTACTTACCCCGTTCCATTCCACTCCCATACTCACTTCCTCGCTACCATCTGTGGCATTCTCGTATTTGACGCTGCCCCCCAGGCTGTCCCGGCTCCTCCGCCTCTCCGAGCCGTCTCCCTCTTTCAGAATCTCTACCACCTTGGTCTGGTTAATGGGGTCAATGCCCTACAAAGGGACAAAACACCAACCAAAAGGGAAAGCAAACGTCAGGGTTTGACCTTGGCAAAGGAAACGCAAGAGTTCCTGAACATTTTCTAGTGGTGCATGGCACAGTCTGTCCCCTGGCTATCTGTTCAGAACAATGAACGTTTTGCTTTTCTAGCAAAAGTCACCTTGACCGCAACCGGCTACACCACTGCTGCCACCACAGGAGTGTATGTTTTTAATATCAGCCAGTAGTTTAGGCTCCTAGATCTAAGATTCAGGATAGCCTTATACATTTAATCCATCAACATTCTAATCTCCAACCATGAATATTTACACAAAACTCTTGCTTTCTCATCCCCATATTTACACCAGAGGTGCAAAAGCAGTGGCCCTCCCTGACCACAGACCATGCTGGCAAGACTTGATGGAAGTCGGAATCCAGTAACACCTGGGAGCCCACGGGTTCTTTGCCCCTGCATTACACCAACAGCCTTTCCTGGGTTAATAATGGCCTTACCTGTCTCCTGGAACGCATCGCACATTCTTCCAAGGTTTCTGCAGCTTCCAGTTTGCCCTGACGCCTGTACAATGCACCCAGGTTCCGCAGGGTGGTGTTCACTGTAGGGCTGAGAAACAAAGGAGAAAACAACAAACCATGGCTAAATGTCATACGCTAAAGCTGACTTGGGATGGACATGCGTCACTCTGCACTTGTCATGTATGCTGGTGCCACTGTTACACTGATGTGGCTGCACAGTGAGCAGAGCTGTGAGCCAGCTCTGCCATGCGCCCTCGAAATGACCCAGCTGCCCCAAGGATGCTAGAGCTGCCTCTCCCAATTTGGGGTCCTCCAGATGTTCTGGACCATCGCTCCCACACACCTGGACCATGCAAGTTGGGCAAGGCTGCAGTAAAGGATGCTGCCCAATTGCCAATGGGATCAACCACCTCTGCTGGTTCCCCCCCTCACCCGGTCCATTTCACTTGCAATTCGTTTTGTCCCTGCCTTTGTACTTCTTGCAGGCTTCTGCAGAAGTTTATTCTGTGAGCAATTCTAGAGCCATGGAAAGATTGATATAAAAGAGGGCTAAGGACCCCTGACGGACACCGCATCTTACCTGCTGACCTTGCAGGCCTTATACCAGCCACCATACTCTGCATATGGAGTATTTTCTCGGTGCTTGCTCTGGGAGAGAGGTGGGGTGGGGGAGAGAAGACAAGGAGACTTATTAGATCAGCAAAAACACCTGCACGAGAAAGAGCCACAATTAATTTCTCCATCTCCAGTCACACACCTAGAAGAGATAGACAAGGTGCACATCAGCTTGGTCTCAGTCACCCTGTAGCTGTTTTGGATCCTGCACTGGTGTATGTTGAAGCTATATATCACTAGAATGATTATTATGTTTTGCCACATGTTTCGACTGTCTTCTTTTTTTTAAGTACGGCTGCCCGAGTATCTGTATACAAAGTCATGTCACAAGAACACTACCTAGCTAAGTCACAGATAGGAGTGTTGGCACAGTAACTTGTGAGGTTCTAGAGTTTCACAGAACTTCTTAACACACCTAAGAAAAGCCCTACTGGATCTGGCAAAAGGTCTATCTAGGGCAGCATTTGGTTCTCACAGCGGCTAACCAGATGCTTGTGGGAAGCCCAGAACTAGGGCATGAATGTACAAGCACCTTCCTGCTGATTTTCCTCAACAACTGATATAAAGAGGTGTACTGTCTCCAAGACTAGAAGTGATATATGACTACAACTAGCTACTGATAGCATTAGCCTTCATGAACTTGACAAATCCCCTTCCAAACTGGCAGCCATCACTATCTTGTATTAATGAACTCCACAGTTTAATTACGTGCTGTGTGAAATGCTTCCTTTTGTCTGTCTAATGGCATGTCTGACAGAAACCTCTCAAATAATACTAGAACTCAGGATCATCCTTTGGTAGCAAATTCCATATTTGACTATGTGTTATATGAATAAGGGCTTCCCTCTTCACCCACAGTATTAGAAACACAGGGAGTCATCAAATAAAATGGATTGGTGTAGACAAAAGAAAATATTTCTTCACATAGCACGTAGTTTAACTATGGAATTCGCTCCCTGCTCCCCAAAATTAAGTGAAAACCTACTTTCCTTTTACCAGGCATAATTTTATACAAATAAAATCACATTTTATATAAATTTGTACAAAGAATCTCCCCTACCCACCCTGTTTTGTTTTGCTTTGCTTTTCAGCTAGTTTAAAACTCTGAGCAGAAACCAAAAGCCACACTCCAGGACTTTGCCCATGTATGATTCCCTCCCTAGAGAAACATTCCTGGCTTGCAACAACTTTGCATGGAACAGTGACCAATAATTGCTAGCTTTGTGCTCCTTCAGCATTTTTTAGGGCAGTCATCCAAGGTGGAAGGCCATTCAGCCATTAGTTCCCCAATCTTAGAAGCACTTCCTAATTAAAAACAAATCCCTTTGGAGAAGGGGTTTCTCCACCAGCCAATCCCCTGGCAGGCTCAATAGGTGGGGAGTTTCCAGCTGCTGATGCTGAGAAATATTTGAGTGGGAATGGATAGAGGTCGGTTAGGAACACAGAACGCTGCCTTGTACTGAGTCAGACCCTTGGCCCATCTAACTTACTATTGTGGATACTGACTTCTAATAGTTCTCCAGGGTTCCAAACAGGGGTTTTTCCAAGCTCTGTGCCCATAAAAATGTGTTCCAACACTGACCTACTACATTCTGCATTCCACATGGATGTGTGCCAGGTTGTCAGCAGAGAGGGCAGCAAATCCCAGTGTGGGGGCTGCATTAAAGGTCCATGGGGGACAGGGACCTCATAATCCTCAATGGTTCATCCATAATGCAGTCTTATTACTGGGACAAAAAAAATGTCCCAGTGTTGGGTCCAGAGGTGGGTCAGTCATGCCATTTTTTCACTTTGGTTTGAAAACGAGTTAGAGCTACAAAGAGTTACCTTCCAACGATTACAGGCTGGACATTCAGCTTTTGCCGAGCGTAAAAAGACAATCAGTTCCAGGCCCATTTTAGTAGAGCCTCTGATGACACTTTGCATGGCAACCAAATAGTAGTCTGAAGCAATAGGAGCCCATGTGAACATAGACAGTAATAACTATTTCCCAACCTGATGTTCCTTAAATGCTTTGGCCTATGAGCATCCCTGATCACTGGCTATGCTGGATAAAACTGATGAAAGTTCGAAACCAGAACATCTGGAGGTCACCTGGTGGGGGAAGCCTGTCTAAAAGCTTCTCCACAGCTTTGTTCACAAAAACTAAAACCTTGACCACCCTTTCCTAGCTCAAGCACTCCATCTGTGAAGGGGGATCAGTGCTTAGCACAGCCCCAGGCTTCCATGTGAGGAACAGAGATGGATTTGCAAGCAGGCATAGGCTATTGGGGACGTTCCCAAGACAGAAAGGTAAGGAGGATTTGGCCAGCATTTCTCAGGCTGATTAGTTGCTGCCTTGTGTGCATCTCCAGAAATGATGCACAGCCTCTCTTGGGCAAGAAGACACCTTAAGTGCCTGGCTTGGCTGCAATCGTCTCCTCAGGAAGTACAGTCTTTCCTTGCAAGCTTAAATGTACTTATTTGGGAGTGAGTCTTACTAAGCTACAGCGGGGTGGGCAACCTATGGCCTTTGAGATGTCTCAGCTAGCTCCTTCCATCAGCCCTGGACAGACAATTAATGGTGAGGGATTATGGGAGATGGTGCCCTCCCGTACGTTGGCTGCACTACAGCACAAGACTTATTTCCCTTTGCATGACAGTTCAGGCCCAGCCCCTAAGGGAGCTAATAGACTCTGAGCTGAAACACTTAAGATGGCACTCTTCCGCCCCACAGAATTCTGTTTTCCTTCCCAATGGCCACACAATGCCATGGAGCTCCCAAGGCTTATGAGTAAGCGAATTTAGCTATTTCTAATTATGGCCATTCTCACAGCAACACAACAAGAATGCTTGCAGTCGCTATCCTATTCCTGGTATTGCCACAAGCAGTGCATGCAAGTGGGCCAAGGTCATTCACTGGCTACAATCCTAGGCACATTACTTGAGAGTTACGAGTAGACCAGGAAGTATACTGTGGAGTAAACATACACAGAACCAGGCTGCTGCTATGCTACACACACAGAATATGTCAAAGAATACAAAAAGCAATCTGCTAGCAAGATGGTTTTTATGCTGTTTAATTGCCATAAGAAAAAAAAATACACAAAACCAAGACTGCCAGTAGAAATGGATGACATTAAAGATAATGGAAACTGAATAAATAAATACATTATGGAGGAGTTCCTTATTTCAGAAACAATATTATCATCATATGATCCAATTTCTCTCCACTATGTGGAAAAGTCCTCCCTGTTTGGTCATTCTGGAAAGTATCAGCAAACTTTTGTATTTCAAGAAAAGCTGATGGAATTTAATGGGTATACAATATGTTATACTTTGGGAACTCCAGGGAGGTGGTTGAAGCCCCATCGGTAAGGGTGTTCAAGGACAAATTTGACATGCACATGGTAGGCGTGTCATGAGTGGAGCTGGATGGAGCCGGGGGTCAGACTAGATGGCCCAGGAGATCCCTTCTGACTCACTCTATTTCTCTGTCTCTATGTAACGACTTATTGAGTGGGTTCAGACAACATGATAACCTACATTTAAGGGTTTAGTATGGACTAGCATTGAACCAGCTGATGAAACACGTTGTTGATGAAACACGTTGCACTTGTTCTCTGTGAGCTCAGCTGCACTAAAAGGTCATGGTTTGTTTACCACAAAAAAAAAAAAAAAAAACAAACCCCAACCAAACAAGGTTTATTGTTGAGTTACACACTCTGGGTTGTACACCATAGTTTGTTATCTCAGCAGGTTCCAGACAACATGGTAACCCACATTTCAACAATTCACATTCCAGCAACAGCTGATATTCAACCCATGATCACCTCCTAAGACTGGATTATCATGTTGCCTGAGCTAGTGTGTTTTAAGACCCCTCTTACTTTCCCAGTCCCCTACCCCAACCAGCATGTGGAGCTGCTAATCTACCCAGAAGGGCTGGAGGTCACTGAGCTGGCATATGCAACTTCTACCACTTGGCATGTTGTAGCATGTTTTTATTATTTATTTATTTGATTTTTATTCTGTCCCATTAGCCATAAGGCTCCTTGGGCAGCTTACAAATCAGTGCTATGCAGCGAGGTTCCTCACAAAGCAAGACCGGCTCTCTTGGTGTTTTCCCAAGTTCGTTTTGCAGGTGGGGACAAGTTCTCACACTTTACAGAAGCAATGCGCTTGCTACTTATACACTTGTAATTGCAGAGGTGGTGAGTACTGTATGTGAGAAATGCAGACACGAGCTTGCATACATTCAAGGCCACAGGATGTGCAAGTACCAGAAAGCCCCAATTAGCCACACAGCTCAGATGGGCAGCTATTGTGCACCAGATGTTTGCTTTATACCATTTACCTCTTTGTCCATATTTGGGGAGGGACTTTAGAACACTGGAGCACATATTTGCATGCAGAAGGTTCCTGGGTTCAAAACCTGGCACTTCCAGTCAAAAGGATCAGTGAGCAGGTGATAGAAAAGACCTCAGGTCAAGACTTGGAAGGCCTCTTGCCCAATAGAACAGGCAATCCTAAGCTGGATGAACCCATAACTTGACCTGGATACACCAGCTTCTGTCTACAAGAATGCAAAAGGCAGGCACCACGAGTTGAGCCTTAGTGACGAAGTTAATCATGTGCTGGCTGAATTAAGGCAGTAGAAAATGGGAAGGCCTAGTTCTTATAACGTTACATTCTCCCAGTCACTTTCCCCAGTGGTGCAGCCCTACCAGATGTGGAAGTGCTGGAGAACCAGAATACCCATGTTAGAAGAAGTGGTTCACCAAAGGAAGACGCTGCAGGAAAAAAACAAACCAAAAACAGGTGAGATAGGCCTCCTGGGTTCTGAGTTCAGGTAGAAGGGCTCACTCTGCTTCTCCGATCTGTTTTCAAGAGCTCCCTCATATGATATGCTTGATATGCTTCCTGAACAGAATTCATTTGTAATTGCTTCCAGGATGGAATTCAAGGTATGAAAAAATTTGCACCAGACAAGGCGGTGTGAGCCGCACAATCAGAAACAAACACAGGAGAATGAAAACTTTGACATTTGGAAATAAAATGAGTGAGAGACAGAAAGGTGATGTCTTATAGCACAGAACAAGAAGAGCTATGAAAGCACACCAGGCAGGGAACAGGATCTAATTTGCTACCCAAAGTGTCAAGATAAGGATTCTGGCCTGGAGAAGGGTAGCTTTGTCCCTCAAAAGCTTTGAAATCCCCCATTCAAACCAACTGGTGATTAAATGGCTTCTTTTAAAGGCAACATCCAGGTACAAACCCAATTAAAAGCTGCCCAACAACCTTCCCAGGGGAGAAGTGACCTGGAGTACTTTTTATTTCAGCCACTTCCCAGCATGATCCCATCACAGGAGCCAGATTTCCTGCCAACAGTGTCCAAGACAGGAGGTCAGAAAATGGATCCTCTGACTTGGTTTTAAGATCACACACCAGGAGCAGCAAAGATTCTCTGAGGGGCCTGGTTGGTACGCTCCAAGTCAAACTGGACAAATGCATGCGCACACATACACACATCTCCTCACTCCTCCTGAACAATCTACCCACACAAGAGCACTGAGCAAGTCTGGTAGTGATAAGCAAGAGTACTAGTTTCCCTTTTATTATACTTATAATGTGGCCAATGTTTGAAGTTTGAGAAATAAACAGAGAAACAAGAACACAAACGCCTACATTATCCTCAAGCAAGACTTGTAAAAACAAACTCAGACCACCTCTTCCAGAGAGAAGTTCAGCATGGAAGGTATAATGAAGCCTTTACATTCATGCTTGGGAAATGCTATGCTACATGCGGTAGCTCAGCAGGTCTCAGAAGCACATCACGTTTTCGCACTTTTCCTAACAACATGTACATTTTTCAGAAGAGCCAGGGGCTACTGCTTGCTGCACCTGTGGCTGGAGCCCTTCTCCCAAGAACCTTGGGCTTGCCATACCTCTAACAGGCTAAGATTTCCTCATGCATCTTGGTTTCTTCCCAACCTAGGCCAAATCTTAGCCACCCCCTTCTAAATGTACTCAGGAGGAGGAGGAGGAGGTGGTGGTGCAGAGGACTGCAGCTTCTTCCCATTCCTCTTATCTCAGACTTGGGGCTCAAGAAACTACTTTTTCCTGCTTGGCCAACTTTAAACTTCCTGGCTCTGAAGTGTCTGTGGCTCAGAACCTGCTGCAGTCCCTCCATCTTCCACTCTCCAGTGCATCCTAAGCAGTGCACTATAACAGAGAGAAAACATGCAAGGCACAGGAAGAACAGGGCAAACAACTCCAGTTCCCATCACAAGGGAGTTACTGTGCAGACTGAGTACATCTCCCCCATTCCTACTGTCTGTCCAACCTCACAGGCAACTACTTGCTCCACCCGCCACCAAGTGTGATAAGCACAGATATGGAACCCATGATCTTCCAGATGGGGCTGGACTACAACTCCCAACATCTCTGGCTGGGCCTGATGGGAGCTGGCCGCTTTCTCACCACATTTAGAAAGCCCTTGTTGCCAGGCAAAGAAGTGATGCTGCCATTTCTGGGCAACTGGTCAGGTCAAGCCCAGGCGTGTGCGCCATGTCCCTGATGTCATTGCACGGCAGCACCCATTACAATATTGCCCTTGTGCTCACCTTGCTCATCTCCTCCCTTTCTTCTGCGTGCATCCATATAGGCTTGTGTTCATCTGCAGGGGAAAAGAAGGAGTGGAACCATACAGAGAAGTGATATTTCCTAGAGGAACTCTCTGCCCATGCTGCTGCCAGAAAAGGAGGATGCTGACGTGTTAACTTTCAGACTTGCTTGCTCATTCCTCTGATGGAAATGCTTTTGGCAGGTAGGCCATGAAGTGTGCCCTCGGAGAAGGAAATTAAGAGAGCACAGAGGTGCGTGTGTGTGCGGGGTGGGGGGTTGTGCATGTGCAAGATGTGGCTCTTTTCCTTTAACAGGATGTGCTAACAAACAGAACTGGGCCCTTGGTCATGTCCAGGAGTTACAGGGAGACTTGCTGTGTTGGCAAACCATCTTTAAATCATTTAAAGCAAGGGTAGGTAACTTCTGGGCACTCGGGAGACTGCCATGCATTCCACACTGGAACCCCCCAGGGCTGCAACCCAGGCCAGCTTCTGAAATTGCCATGGTGGCAGCGACAATGACGGAGCAAGAGGCAGCAAAACCGTCATGCAGTCTACATACGGCTCACCCATGACTTAGGGAGTCTCAGCTTCAGCCTTTGCCCCTTGCCAGTCTCCTTCAAAGCCCCACTCTCTTTGCGCAAGCTCCCCCCTCCGTTGCACATACCATCCACCGAGCCAAATTCCTTCACATGAGCACGGGTGAGGATTTCTTTGTAGAGGACCTCTGCATCCTTGTATTTGCCTTGCTTCAGGTAACAGGAGGCCTGGCACAAAGTAGGGGGACAGCTTCTTAAATGCATCACAGCCGGCGCCCTCCCACCAACGGCCATCCCACACGGTGTTCAGATGCCCCAATCCTTACATTACCCAAAGGACCCACCAGATTATTCTTCGTTTTGGCCACGTTTGGGTCATCAGGCCCCAGGCGGGATTCATAGATCTCCAGTGCCCGGCGATAGTAATATTCTACTTCTTCATATTTGCCCTGATTCTGGCACAGTAAAGCCAAGTTATTTAACTGCTTGGCCACATCTGGGTGATCTTTCCCAAGAACCTGAGAAGGAAGCAAACGCAGAGTGAGAAAGAGTTACGAGAAACCAAGACCCCGTAATACAGTGGAACCCTTTGGTTTCTGAGGAAAACAGGCCACAGTGTGTTACAAAGAGGCTTCAACTCTGGCACACACAGCTCCCTTTGCATACGATTTGCCATCAGCCTCTCGCGGCTCTGCCCCCAAGGATAGTCCGCCTTCCATACTGCGGAAACCGGGAGTGCTGAACAGTGCTGCACATGCCTGACACCCTGGCCCTTCCTCCTCTAGAGTGGAGAAAGAAAAAAAGAACCTTTTCCCGGATTTCCAGTGCTCGCTTGCATAGTGGCTCTGCCTCCTTGTATTTCCCTCTTTTACCATAGAGAACAGCCAGGTTATTCAGGGTTGCCGCAACCTGCAGAGGAACAGACGCATATCTGCATGAGAGGCAAGGAGGAACTAGCCGGAGCAGACAGCAGGGGCGGGTACGGCTGGACATATGACTGAATATTCACTTCAATGCTCCTGCATCACAGCTATCTGAGGCTGAGCCCAAATGGTCACACCCCTACACACACCACTGGGGAAAACACTTATTTCTGTAGTTGTTGCCTTTACAGTGTGGCTGGAAGCAGGCCACCGGGATGTCAGAGCTCCTTTGCATATTGAGAGATACCACCACTCTACCGAGCCTTGACAGCAAGAGGCATTGCTTGTTTTCCCTCCTGCCCTCCTTAAAGGAGCACGTCTCCATTAATGTTCTATGATGGTTGCCCAGTGTCCCTCCCGAGGAGCCTCACCTCCTTATGATGCGGTAGGATGCCCTCCAAATAGGAACCTAGTTGTTTCACTGGCATATCATTCCTTGCCTTGACGGAAAACTTGGGAAAGAAAGTTGCCCTGAAGGAAGCATTTACAGCAAGAGTTCCCCGTTTCACTTCCTTCCTGTCGCTCTGACCACATCACAGCCTCTGACCTACCATCACTGCAGATGGCCGCAACACAGGACACATCAGTAGGCTGGTTCAGTACCCTGCAATTTAATGGTTCACACCTGCTCCACCCACTTTTCCTACCAAGTCCAAAGAAAAAGGCAACTTACTGCAGGATGGTCCTTGCCAAGCGTTTTCTCCCTGATCGACAGTGCATCGTTCAGCAGGTGAGCTGCCTCCTTGTATTTGTTCTGATCCCTGCAGAAAACCCCCGAAACCAAAACGCGTTATGGATGGTGTTCAGTGCTGGAGGGACAGAGAATCAGCACACACAGGACACGGCAGAGCAGCCTCCTCAACTCTGGTGCTCTCCAGATGCACTGGAACCCCATCATCCTTAGCCGGCATGGCCACTGGCTTTCACTACACAGGGTTCCTTCTTCACAAAATCATTCCATCATAAAAGTTCTGCACAATTAGTTCCTTCAGCACTATGCCTGTGTCCCATTTCCCTATTCCAGTAAACTGTTCCACACCTACACAGTGGGAAGAACCAAGAAAATCCTGTGTGCAGCGTCCATCCCCCCAAGCAAGCAAAGTTCCACCCCTGTGAGACAGAGAAGGCTCCCAGCTCTCACCTATACACCAAGGCCAAGATGTTGAGCATGGTGGCTACATCAGGGTGATCGTGGCCTGAAGTTTTCTCCAAGTCCTCCAGGGCCTGCTTGCACAGCGGTACGGCCACCTCATAGCGGCCCTGCGAAGCATACTGGATCACCAGGTTGTGCAGTGTACGCAAGCGTGCCGGGATCTCGTAGCCCCCTTGCTGGGCTGCTGCTGCAGCGCTGCTGTGTTGATGGGGCACTGCAAACATGAGGCATGTTAATGAGGCTGCTTCCAGTGCCATGTTGTGGTGCATTCATACCAGTGAGAACAGCTTGTCCCCATTTCCCCACTTCCAAACAGGACATATGCTGGAAGTCACAGTCATGCCGTCTTTCTGACCCCTTCTTCCCTGACAGATGCTACCCTCCTCCCCAAGAAGAGTTTGGACAAAGGCAACCTACACCCTTGACCCTGGTCCTCTTCCTCATTTGGAAACAAGTCATCCAGGGAATCCTTTGTGGAATCGCCTTCCTTCTCCTCCTGAAGCACAAATGAGAAAAGAAACCACAAATACTTTTAAAAGCAAACATACTTAGGCACAAATAATCTTACCTCGCGCATTTGAGTTTATCTACCCAAGCCCATTAAAATGCTTTTCCCCAGCAATATCAATTATAGGGATAGGCAAGCTGTGCCCATCAAACATCCAGACATTGGTTCAGCTAGGTAACTTTAGACCATGGAATTAATGGTTTTATAGGCGATCATTTAGAATGCCATGTATATTATTTCTGTTCTGAAGCATATAATTAACATTTCTCTTCTGATGTGTTGCTGGGAGCAGGGGGGATTGTTTGCCAATAGGCAAACAAGAAAACCAATTAAAGGAACAAAAAAATACCTCTGAGCATGTGGAGCTTAGCACTTCCAATTCACTTACATCAAAACATCATAATGACTACTCAAATAAAATGGAGCTTGCTTCTGCTGCCCTGCTGGGTAAACATTTTGAAGGGTATGGGATCTTTGCCCCATGGTCTAACCCACTGCATCCAGTTCAAGATACTAATTGGGAGACAGTACCAGGAATACTAAAAACCTCGCTGCTGCTGGCCTTGCTTGTGGGATGTGCTGAAAAAGGCACAGAAGTCCACATGTCTCCTCTCTGTGTTTTGGCTCTTACCGACGGGGACACATCCTCATCATATTTCTTGAGCTGGTTCATGAACTCCAGGTGCTTCTTTTCCTCCTCGAGTTGTGCCACTGTCTGCTCACTGCGCTGCAGCTTCTGCTGGGTGTTTGCCAGCTCATCCCGCAGCCACTGGTTCTCCTGGCACAGCCGGCGCACCTGGGCCCGGAGTTTCTGCTTCTCAGACTCCACTGCATTCAGGTGGTTCGACAGAGCCATCATTACCTGGTCCAGGAAAAGTGCAAGAGATGTTTGCTATTGTCCAATGCAGGCATAGGCAGGAGGTCCACTGGGACTGCCCTGTAAATCCCTGGGTGATTTGCAATGGACCAACAGCAGCTTCTAACTCCTGGCTGTCACAACTAGAAAGTTTGCCCCTACCATATTTGGGTGCTGAACAAGAATGCTTACTTGGAAACCAGGTGTGGATTTCTCAAAGAAAGGACTTGGAGTTCAGTTCAATGCCAATCACAAATCCCCGAACTGAACCCATGTTCAGAAGCACCCTACATTGTTTAATCCTCAGTATATAAGGGGACTCACGTGACACAATTAGCTGCACAGTGTGGCTGATAAACTCCCAACACCCAATGTGCCAGACAGATGGATGGACACATTGGGGGTTGGGTGCTTCCTCCTCCTCCTCGGTCCTCCCACAGGCATCCCAAAGAAGACCACGGGAACACTGATGTTTACCCCACTCCTTGTTGCTGCTTGACAGCAGTGCTGGAGAGGAAGGAAGATGCGCCCATCACTTCAGCCTACTCATGAGCAGGCGGGAGCAATGGGTGCTGCCTACCACCGCAGCCAACTGAAAGTGCTGTCCATGGCAACAGACAATGGCAAGAACCTCTTTGCCACCATCCCAAAACATTAGGCAGGGACCATCCTGGCAGAGAGGGGTGACTTAAGTCTAAGCCCCATTCTTCCGGGCCACCTTCCCTTGTCTCAAATGAGACTACTGAATGAGCTCAACAGGCTGTGGCCAGGAGGAATGCCAGAGTGGCCATCGGTCCCCATAAGAATGGCCCTCGAATGGTGCTGCCTCACATGCCTCCAGCCCTCACCTCCTCTTAGTGCCAAGGCTGCAGCTTCAAGCAGAGAGGGAAGTGAGGAGCGGCACATACGGCTGAGACACATAAAAATAATTAAAAGCTTAGATTTACAGGATGTTGACTTTGCTGCTCTGTAGTTGGATTGCTCTCCACTTATTTAGAAAAGTGGAGTACACAGAGACCTGCCAACATATGTAGCAAGCATGCCCCTCTATAGCCACATCAGCCAAAGTATTTAATTTATGATTTTACATATTTAGTTTCTCTTGCTGAAGCATGCAGAGGCACTCCCCAATGGAGTGGCAGCTCACCTGAGCCTCTCCGAGGCCCAGCTCAATCATCTCCACTGACTTGCGCAGCAGGTTGGCTTTCTCATGCACTAGGTTGGCTTCTTCATCCTTCTTCAGACACTTGATGGTCTCCAACAGACTGTGCAAGATCGAATTATGCTCATTCTTAAGAGCTTCCAGCCCCTGCATCACCAATTTAGTGTTGGAGATTATCTCCTCTTGGCTTAGCTTGTCCATCTTCTCCTCTCTGGGGTATACCATCGTGGACATTGTCTTTCATCAACAACCTCCCACCTAAGGAAAGAAAGAGAAAAGATGGAGTTATTGGATAGCAATGATTCACTTAGACAGAGCAGGGTCTGTAACATTAAGAAAAAACTGCATACAGGTGATCCTATGGCAATGGTAATGGCAGGAAATGCCCTAGGATTCAGTGTCCTTGCAGAAAGGGACAACATGAAGCACAAGATGTCACCAGCAGGAGTACACAGGAGTAAAAATGGCATTTACGTCAAAGCTCACATTCTCCCACCGCCCACACACTCTAAGGAACAGAGAAAGCTGATTTAGCTTCCATTTAAAAACCCAGGAGAAACTGCAATAAGCACACCTTCTGACCAGAGGTGACAGAGATCCAGCAAAGAACTGACCAAAATAAGGACAAATAGTTTAAGGCTAGTATTGATAAGGGAAAAAGAAAAAGATAAAGTCTTGAGATTATTTCTCCCTGGAAAAGAAAACCCTCTAGCTCAAGAAAAGTGAGTGCAGTTTGCAGACATCTTGAAAAAGAAAATGCTTTGATAGCCAAATTCTGAGCCCAGCTTCAGAGGCAGAAAACATTATGGCCTCTGACTCTTAGAATCAAGAGTAATTCTGAAGCAAATTCAAAGGGACAGAGAAAATAAGGCAGCAGTTAATCACTCAGCTCCACCAATTAAGCCCAGTATTAAAGTATTTGTAACTTCTCATTTTGGACTCCGTCAAGCCTTTCACTGTGCATTTCTTTTTCCCTGTCTACAATGGAGTTTCCCCCAGGATAAAACCATTGCAATGAATCATATAAATACTAGGTATTACTATACAGGTGAGAGGAGAGAAGGAACCATTGGCAATGCATACTTGAAATCTGAAGCGTACTAGGGAGTGGTGCAGGACAAACAAACCAGAAACACTGTTTACAAATGAAAGCTGCCAACTCCCCCTCCCCCTCCCTCTCTTACACACGCAAAACACACACATATATATTAGCCTCTGGTGTAAACCTAAGTGAATGCTTGCCGAAAAGAAAGGGTTACAGATTTGCCAGAGGCAAAATTTTTCCCAACTGTAAAGATCTGCTCCCTGTTTGTTTCGATAAAACTGCAGAACTGCAGAAGCTGATTTCTACTCCTTTGCCAAGCGATTGCCTGGTTCAGCTTTCTCAAAGATGCGCCTAGCAGCAATATGTGTTGTCTTGTGCTGACTGCTGCATTCAGGGACCTTCATGAAAAGCCCCCTCCTCCTGCCCAAGGCTCCCTTGCTCTAGGGTTTCACCTCCACCCCCTAGGCAGTGGGCAAGAGGGGCTTACCTCCCAGCAGCAGCAGCTGGAGCAGCCTGCCGCAGATACCAAATGCAAGGAAGGCAACCTGAGCTCACGTGATCCTGCTGCCAGGCTGCTGAGCTCTTACGCTATCCAGAGGAGGGAAAAGGAGAAAAGGGAGGAAGCCATCAGCAAATCAGCCTTTGTTCTCCGATAGTCCCACCTCTGTGTGTTCTGGGCTCTTTGCTAGGCAACGGCGCGCCTCCCTGTGCGTACAGAGCCCAATGGAAAGTCCCGGTCAACTCCATTGCCCCCCACCCCTGCCGGAGAACAAGGGGAGTCTCTCAACACAGCTGCCCGCTGCTGCTTCCAAGGTGGCAAGCCTGTCTCCCAGCCCGAGGCACCTGCCCGCTCCAGGGCCACCCAGGAAGAGCAAAGACGCAGACAGCAATACCCACATAAGAAAGCCTCGGCCGGGTCGGGTGCTCCAGTTTCCTCTTTCCAGGGCAGAAAAGCCAGAGGAGATATGCTCTGGCTCCAACAAAGGAACAAGGATAGCAGGGGGACCCTGGCCACTCCAGCAGAGTAACCCAGAGTCTGTCAGTACCAGGCCAGCATGAAGCCTAGCTGAAAGCTTGGGAGAAAGGGAGAGAAACTGCCCTTATATGCTACGCTGGGGAATAAGGCAAACAGATGTCCCTTTTTAAAAGGGCAGTGTTGATTTTCTCTGAACAAAGTGATGTCCCTCTTAATTTCAGAGCCATAGCACCTCTGGCACACAGAACCCATGCTCTGCATCTTAACCTGCATCTTTCCACAATGAGCCAGTGTGGGGTGGTGGTAAAAGTGCTGGACTGGGAACCTGAGAGATCTGGGTTCTAGCCCCAATTGGCCATGAAGCTCACTATGTAGGTGACCTGGGTCAGTCAGTCTCTCAACCCAACCCACCTTACAGGGTGGTTGTTGGGAGGATAAAATAGAGCTTCGTAAGATGCCTTGGGTACCTCAAAAGAGGGGGCAAAGGTGGGAAATAAATGCAGTCTCTTCTAACAGCATTGTCTCTTCTATTTTACAGTACTGGAAAGTTTTCTAAACCAAGTTCACAACACTGTCAAAGCAAGGCATTTCCATTTAACTTGACCTGGTTGCAATGACGCTAGAGGATGCCAAAATGAAGCTGCAGTTTAACTGGGCTGTGGATACATGGACCACAACCCACGGCATCAGTTCTTGGCATTTTCAGCAATAGGGCAGGTGGGACCTAGAGTAAAACCTATAGGTCCAATCAATCAACCAATGTTTATATAATAGAGAAAGGTACTCTACTTAAGCTCAGGTACAAGGAAGGCACTCAAGAAGAGGACATGAATGTAAGAGGCAGAGCAAGTAGCAGAAGCAGGAAGCTGTGTGAATGAAGACAGAATTAAAAGAAGAAACACAAATTGTCTCTCACTCCAAGGTATGAGTGCTATAAGACAGAGATGCACAGAAGACACTTTAATGGCAATATAATATTGCTCCTCAGCATCTAAAGGCATCAAATGTATTCTTAGATGCTTGAAATGGAAAGTACAATTTCAGAAATGACTTTTCTCATGGTCCCGACCCAGCCATGATAAAACCTTCCACACCTCAATGACTGCCCCGGGACTCAAATATGTGACCACACTACTTGCCCTACCTGTTCCACAGTTCTGTTGCAGTTATTGCTTCGCTATCCAATATCTTCTCTACCCCAATACCCACTTTCTCTTTTCAAGCCCTCCTCTTCAAAAACAAGAAATCTCATTTTTCAGATAATCCCCAGCTATCCCTCAGTTTTGGAAGCCATTGCGAGACACCACCAAGCCCCTCAAAGATAGCACTGTGGCTTCTGTGCTGAATCATGAACAATTTCTGTGGAGTGAACTAGTTTTCCTAATTCTCTTAGGACCTCCTGCAGAAAGTTCTACAATGAGGGCACAGAATAGCAAGTATAACAAGACCCAGAACAGTGCAAAGTCCTAGTGATCAACTCCATCATCACCCTCCAAGAGTTCAGGAAGGGCTCCTAGCCAAGTGTAGGAACAGCAGCCTGGGAATCCCCTATGCCTCCACACTAAGCCAATGCCTTCCCCACTGGATCTCTTCCCTTTCCTGTCCTGCCCTCATGGCTACAAACAAGACCTCCATCATGCTGATTATGACATAATAAAATGTTTCCATAAAAAGTACACTGGTGGTTTTCTTGCATACATAATATAGCTGCGGAAGCATGGCCCAGGGCAGGGAGAGAAAAGAGGCGGTGTTTTTAGAATTAGAAAAATCTGGACATACAATTCACAAGAATTGTACCCTACCCCCACCCCAAGTCCCTCTAATGATAATCAATGGTCTGCTAAAGCACAGCACAGAGCTCTACAGGCCAAATATCTGCCTCCAATGGATGCTTTGCTCACAGGGCTAACATCAGCCACACAGGCACAAGAGAACAGTTGGCAGAAATGTGGTGCAAATTAATATTTCTTCCAATGGTAGAAATTTGTTAGAAACAAATTAATATTTCTAACCCTGCCAAACAGCTGTTACTTCAGGATTAAAAAAAAAAAAGAACTGTCAAAATGCACGCAAGATGTTTGCATGCATTCAATGCCTGGTGTAGTTTAGCCTCCAAACTACTGGAGCCTGGTATCTCTTTCCTCAGCCCACAACTCAACTGCTCTGGTGAGGAAGTGGGCAGGAGCAAAAGAATTCTGCTGATGCATTAGTTGTCGCAGTCATTCCAGATACTGCTGCCAATGTGTTTTGAAACATCAGCGTCAAAATATTGGCACAAGCCGGCCAGGCGTGCTAGTGGGGGAATGGTAGGAGTGGCTTACTCTGCCAACGTTTTGCTTGTAGCTTTGAGGACAATCAAAACCCTGAAGCAGAGCCAATGGCAAGCTGCAGCCATGGCAGGAGGCCCTTGAAGGACCAAAGGATACTGCCTTCTCTTTTTTTAAAAAAACCCATAAACTGGAGACTATAATGCCCATTCAAATTACTTTTAGAACAGGCATACTGAATTATTTTCAGCCTTATGTACTGAATTCCATTTTGGAGAAGGTCTCAGGAGCTGTATTCCAGCAGTGTGTGGGGCCAAGAGAAAAGCAGATGGAATCCAACATGCAAATAATAGAAGGGTATTGTAGTTCAAAGCTTTACTGATTAGGAGAGGCATTTCACCTTTAGCATGGGGCAAACTACATAAAAACCAGGAAAACAAAAAATGAATGGTGACTGGAGGAAAAGAGCAGAGCCAGGGCAATAGACACATTGGCTATCTGGGGACATCAAGGAGGCTGGAACTGGTCCCTAGGATTGAGATTCTGCACCCCTGAATTTAGAAAGTAGCAGTACAAGATGGACAGAGCTGTCCACACCTTTCTCCCATATTTTTATTACTAGCTGTTTACATCATCTTGAACCTATCAGGCAGTGAAAGACAGTCAAATTTAGTAGTCAGAATTTTAGTGACATTCTTAGAAAGGACAGCATATTATAAATTATTCAGTTTGTTATGATAATGGACATGAACCAATTCAAGACATGTGAAGTCAATCAATTCAAATTCCTAATGCAAACATTTCATTTGCATGAACTTACACATGACTAAGAGGGAAAATCTGCCCTGTTTTGAACATGCAGCAGGCATAATCTTAGAAGAGGCATTCCTTCCTGTGTCACAGCAAAAGGAGGAATGCCTTTTCTAACACAGCGCCTTCCATCTGTAGTTTCTATTAAGTATTTATATTA